CACACACACACACACACACACACACACACACACACACACACACCAATCTTAAAACCACAGAGTATCCTGAGTCAGGATTATCTAATTTCCTTCTGGTTCTGCCAGCAGCCTTTCCCCCAGTGTGACCTGGACTGGCTCTCAACGAGGCTGCAGTCCAGCTTCTTTGCCCCTCCTTCCTCCCCACCGAGCTCGCTCGCTCACTCTCCCTTCCACAGTCTGGTTCCAGACGTGTCTGTGAGCAGAACAGGGAGGTGGGGCCGGGCGGGGTGAGCGGAGAAGAATGCGTGTGCTGTCAAAGAGTGGGGAGCATTGTCCCAGACTTCCCTGAAGCCGCTTTGTGGTTTGGGTCCTGCCTCCCGTTAATTATAGCTTGCTGTGTGCTCGGAAATCTCCCTGTGGGGTGCTTTCTATTCACATTCGAGTCTGGAGGGGGGTCCGGTGGGGAGGGCGGGCAAGGCTGGGGCTGGACCCGGGGGAAAGCCCTGGCCATTTGAGGTCATAGCATGCGCTGGGGTGAGGGAGGGCAGGCGGTGGGGCAGGAGGGGAGTGGTCTGGGTCTGGGTTTGAGGGAGTCCCTTCAAGATGGGCTGGGAGCCGTGTGTCTTGATGACAGGGTGGGCCCGGCCGAGGCCTGCAGAAGCAGTAGGAAGAAGGGAGAGGGCTTTCTGAATCATTGAGAAGGTTCTTCTTCTTCAGAGAGTTGATCTTTGCATTTGATTGTTTCTGCCTCTGCCACTACCCTCGCCACACCCATCATGTATTTCATGAATCAAAACTAATCAGTGAAGAAAGTTTTAGACCATGTCCCCCTCACTCAGTTCGGCAGTTTATATAGCATAGTCTCCCCTCCTGATTGGTCTTTCTCAGAGGTGTGCCGAGCGTACTAGAGATGGCTTCTAGATATTACAAATGATATCATTTCAAGTTTCGGTAATATCAGTCGTGTTGCTACATGGGCTTCTTAATTACAATTCCCAATCACTGGGCAGTATTCACTGGGTGTACTGCTAGGGCTGGCCTTGGCCTTAGGAGAGACTAGTCCTGGGTTTATTTTGAATAGAATCAACCTCCCACCCACACCCCCATCACTCAGCACAGCACTCAACCTTCTGGCACCCAGGACAGCTGGCCTTGAGAGCTCTTCTGTCACCCATCTCTGTTTGCAACACACCATTCACTTTAAGCTTCTGACTTTCCTCTTCTTCCCCCAAGTCCTAGCTCGCTGACTTTGACACAGACCTGCTCCTTCTCCCCAGCCCCAGGGCATGGCGGCATGGCTAGTCTCCCCGTGCTGGCTGCTGGCTGCTGGCTGCTGGCGCTGGCTCCGAACACCCACGATCTGAACCACGAGTCGACTTTTGATCGTACGGTTCCTGCCAGACTCGCAGGGACCCGTCTCTGCCCTGCTGACCACGGTTGCTTCCTTTCTGCTCCAGTAACGAGTTCAGTAACCAACAAAACAGACAACGCATGGCCATCTAATCAATGCCGACTCATAGTGACCGTATAGGACAGGGTAGGCCTGGCCGTAGGGTTTCTGAGCCTGTAACTGTTTACAGGAGTAGAAAGCCCGGTCTTTCCCCTGAGGAGTGACTAGTGGTTTCAAACTGCTGCTCTTGGGGTTAGCAGCCCAACGGGTAACCACTATGTCAAGAGTTCCGTGGGGGAGGGCACCGTGGAAGCCGAATACACGGTCCCCTGGCTCACTCTGCACATCATTTCAGTGCGGAGAGGAGCGCTTTCCCAGTGTTTGACATGTGACTGTGTTAGAGTGGATGGGCCACTTCAGTTAGAAGAGTGTCACTTGAGAAACAAAAATCTCCACTTAACAAATGGATTCCCAGTGTTAAAAAGACAAAAAGTCATATGAAGTAGATTGAAGCAGGCACTTGAGTGAAAAAGGAACATCATAAAAGTGACCCTCTGAAGCATGCTTGTATCCCTTTGTGAAGACGTGGCTTGCCCTGGGGAAGTGGCAGCTCTTCATAAAAGGTGACAAAAGGCGCCCTTGATTTTATCGTCTAAAGCGAACCCATTCAGACTGCCCAGACCGGGAAGCCGCAAGGAGGGAAAGAAGCCAGTTCCTTGCTTCAGTCCAAAGGGAAGCGTTGGACGAACATGCTTGGAGTGGGGAAAGGTTGATTTAAGTATTTAATTCAGACGTCTTTAATGTTTGAATCACTTGTTTCCCAAACCCCCCAACCCACCGCTATCAAGTCAATCAGGCTGTAAATCTTTACAGGGGCCGATTGCCTCACCTTTCTCTGGTGGAGTGGCTGGTGGGGTTGAGCCGCCGACCTTGCAGTAAGGAGGCCAGTGCTTACCAGAGAGCACCACCAGGGCTCATTAATCCCTTGTTTAGAGATAATTCACTACCCCACCCAGAACTCGGGAAGACCAGAGACTTACAGCTCTTCTCACCAGTAGCCATCAGAAGCACACACGTCCCTGCGAATAGGAGATTCCTGCCCGAGCACTTAGGGAAAGCAAGCGTAGGGGAGACCTGAGTGTTTCCGCTCAGACACTTGTTTACTTAGCGATGTTTCTGGGGGGCGGGGGGAGGAGCGTGGAATTGCGGACCAAAATAAACAGGGGTTCAAAGCCGCCGAACCCTCTGAGAAACAAAGATGAGGCTGTCTGCGCATCTAAAGACGCCTAACAGCGGTTCTCAACCTGTGGGTCGCCACCCCTTTGGGGGTCAGACGACCCTTTCACAGGGGCCGCCTAAGGCCATCGGAAAACACATATTTCCGATGGTCTTAGGAACTGAGGCACCGCTCCTCTATGTCTCCCGGTGGGCCCGCCCACATACGAGTACCCAGCGAGAAAACTGTTACCCGTGCTACACCATGCTTCAAGACAAAATTTCATTTATTTGTTATTAGAAATAAATATTTCACAATATGTAAGTACATATTGCTTTTGTGATTAATCACTGTACTTCAGTTATGTTCAATTTGTAACAATGAAAATACATCTTGCATCTCAGATCTTTACATGATGATTCATCACAGTAGCAAAATTACAGTTACGAAGTAGCAACGAAAACAATGTTATGGTTGGGGGTCACCACAGCAAGAGGAGCTGTATGAAAGGGTTGCAGCATTAGGAAGGTTGAGAACCACTGATGTATAACCTCAGACACCTTAAAGAACAGTTCTACCCTGCCCCACTGAGTCAGAATTCACTTCCTGGCAGTGCGTTGGTTTGGGCTGGTTCGTTTAAAAATGTCTAGAAACTGTTTAGCTGGGTAGGCATGAGGCATGAGTATAATGAATCGCTTCTCAACAGAAACTCCCCCAAACTTCACTGTCAATCAAATTAATTGTGTCTCGCAGGGACCCTGTAGGACAGGGTAGATCTGCCCCTTTGTGTTCTGGAGACGAAATCTTTATGGGCGTCCATAGCCTCAGCTTTGTCCTGTGGAGAAGGTGGTGGATTTAAATGGCCAACCTTGCTCAGTTCATGACCTACAACATCACCAGGGTTCCTGCATTTATTACAGTACAAAAGATGCTTCTTTCTCGATCTCTGAGAGACAGTTGGGCATCATCATTTAGTGAAAAGGTTTGCTAGAGCTCAGAAGTATCCACAAAAGCACAGCAGAATAGCCACCAGTTAAAGAATTAAAATTGGTGTGGGAAAGATTGATCGATTTCCTAAATTTCAGTTCCTATGTATATTTTGGGGGACAGTGAGTTCAATGAATTATTCGAACGCATACTTTGCTGTTGATGTTCAGAAGCGTCGCTGCACAGAAATGACCGCCCAGCGGGTGACTCCCTTCTTGGGGAGACGCAGCACTCCCCTCCCAGTGGGTGAAACCGAGGGACAGGCAGAGGATTAAGGAAATTTTCTTTTTGTTCTTTTCCTACCAACCACTTGTTGGGGCTGAGGAAACAGTATTTAACTCCTAGGATTGAGAGGATCGAGTTCTCTTAGTATGGGCTTTTTCAGGGTATATAACAGTTGTGAGATAGAATTGTATGCCCTATTTAGTAATTCCATAAAAAAAATCCACTTCATTAAAAGTAACTAACAGAACTACCCTGCTGTGGCAAAGAAGAGGGTTTTTTGCTAAGCATTGGGGAACCAACCAAACAAAAACCCCAAACTGCCTTCGAGTTGATGTTGACTCATAGGACAGGGTAGAACTGCCCCTGTGAGTTTCTGAGACTGTAACTCTTTATAAGAGTAGAAAGCCCCATCTTCCTCCTGAGGAGGGACTGGTGGATTTGAACTGCTGACCTTTTGGATCACAGCCCAACTTGTTACCACTACACCACTAAGCATAGGAGGAAAGTCCCCTAAGCATAGGAGGAAAAGGAGGGAATTCATTTGGGAACAGGAGACTTTGCATTGGCTGTCCGCAGTCCCCTTAGCAGGCAGGGGAGAGGATCCCGAGCACAGCAGATACTTATGTTCGGATTATCTGAGTTTAGGATGGGGCATCGCTAGTTTTATGGACAACTGTTAACATGTGCACTGTTAACTAAAGATGGGTGGTCCCAGAGGCTCCTCAGAAGAAAAATCAGCTGTAGCCCATCACTCTACTTTGACCACGCCAGGTGGAATCGAGAGGCTGCATGTGTGTGCTGCGCATGTGTTTGTGCTGGAGATCATGGGTTGCAGTCAAGACTGGGCAGGGCGCATGCAAGGGCTCTCTGGAAGAGCCAGATTGTATCGATACTTCAGCTCTACCGGGTGAGCGCTGGCCCAGGGTGAAGGTGCGCTGGCCCAGGGTGAAGGTTCTCTTGGCGTTGGCTTCCCCTCTGCGAGCAGAGGCTGGTGAATCAGCAGTACCAGGACCAGCGCCAGCAGGCCTCTTTGAAATGAAAGGCAGGTGTTTTTCCTTGGCAGGAACGTGCAGATGCGTGCGGGCCACAAAGCCCTTTTTCTTTTCTCTGTGTAAGAGATCATCTTGCAATCTAAGCCGTAACCACGAATTGCTTCCTTAATGAGGAGGAGCCCTTTGATCCTTTCGTTAATTGATACTTACATGATTTAACCGGCATTGGTAATTGCTGTCTGTCCTCCCAAGAGACCAACCGGTGATCTCTGAAGAAGAAACTGGAAATCATTTTTCTGTTCTTTAAAATTCAAAGTTGAAAACGGCCCCTTGTGCAGAAAGAAAAGAAGCTCCTGGGTTATCCCTTATGCATCTGATGACACTAGAAAGCCCGCGGCTGTCAAGTTGATTTTGAATCCAGTTGATTCGGGACTCTGAGAGTTGGACTGTTCTACACAGTGTCCAACAGGACTTCAAACCAGTCCATCCCTCGTGACTCCCTACTGAGATGGACCCCCCTGCCCCAGCCTGACCCATCCAACCCAGTCTCACCCAGTCTGTCCTGACCCATCGCCGCCTCATAGCGATCGTAGCTGGGGTTTCTGAGGCGCCCCATTGTTTGGATAGCAGATAGCGTCAACTGCGCCCAAGGAGCAGCTGTGAATTCGAACCTTCAACCTGGTGTCTGGCAGTTCACTGCTTACCTGGTTACACCAGAACACTGAATCAGATTCTACAGCTTAACAAGATCCCAGGTGATTCTGTTTGTCTGTTTGTTTCTTCACGGCCCTCCCACATGGCTGAGCTGGGGTTTGTAACCCCACCTCGCCTGGCTAGCCCCGCACCTCCCCGTGATTCTTTATGGACACACAAGAATCGCCTGGTGACCCATTCGCAAGATTCACGGATCTACCCGTGACGTAGGCCACTGGTTGTTTTCTCTGTGTTCCCCTCATGTCTGTATACCACGCAGACTACTGAGTTCTTGTGAAAACATTTCTGGGAGTTTGGTTAATGCTTTTAAAAAAATTTTTTTTAACATAATTGTAAGGAGCTGTTTTATTTTAAAACTCAAATTGTTTCCCAGCTCGGTGGTTTCGAACTTTTTCTGGGCCATGGATTCCTTCAAAAATCTGGTGCAAACGCTAACGCTCCCAGGAAAATGTGGTTTAAACGCACACACAATTTTACTTACAGTCAGTGGGTCTGTAGCCCCTTGACAGCCGCCCGTGGACTTGGCCGGAGCTGTACTTTATCTGTCGGCTGTCAGCTGAGAAAAAGGTTCTGAGGAAAGGGATTCTTCCGTGGAGGAAGGAGCAGGGGAAAAGCAGTCTGGGAGAGAGCTTTTCTGAGGAGCCTCTCCAGTGAATGAGTCAGTAGGTCTCTGACATCCGAGTGACCTTTGGCTTGAGAGGGGAGGGCAGAGGATGGGCACCTGCTTCAGGCCTGGAGGGCACGTGTCCTGCGACTGCTGTGAAAAGCAAGGCCAGAAATGCGAGCAAACAAACACACTTACCCAACTTGACCCTGGGCGGTCAGGTGGCCCCACTCGAAATGACCTCATGTATCCGGCCAAGGGCGTTCGCAGCTGAGCTGGCCACTAGATGTCAGCACAACACCATCCGTCGTCTGGGCACGCTTCTCAGCCGGACGCAGGCCCAGGCCAGGAGGGCTGGCGAGAGCGTAGTGCATACTGTCAGTAGCCTATTCCTGCCAAGACGGTTTCCATTATTTTTCTTTTTTCCCAGTGTAAGGAAGGCCAAAGGGGAGACCAAAAAACAGTCAGTGGTCAGGAAAAGCCAAGGCGAGTTAAGGTAGGTTGAGTGGGGACTGAGAGGTGGCTCCAGTCCCCAGTTTCCCCCAAAGATGACACTTCCTTGGACAGAGCATGTCCTGGCTCAGCCAGAGGGATGTCAGCTGAACGGACTTGTCCAGCTTTCAAAACAGCAAGTTCTGACATCATGATAGAACTCATTTTACGGCTAATCCAAGATTCACTTTGAACCCCATAGCCCTGCCGCTTTAAGGAGAATTTTGATAAGGTGATAGATGAACATAATATGTGCAGCCACAGAGAAGAAAGGGGCGGGGAAGGGATGACTTTTATTGAGCACTTAGGCTAAACAATAATACCAGGGAGAGTTCACGCCGAAGTGCTATTATCCAAGGGTATTTTCTGAACTGAGGAATATTCTACGTAGGAACTCTTCTGTCTTGCAGTACAGCCAAGCCAGCTACCACAGGAGGCATTCCGCCACCTGGAATTTTTTATTTTTTTTATTTTAACATTTTATTAGGGGCTCATACAACTGTTATCCCAATCCATACACACATCAATTGTGTAAAGCGCATTTGTACATCATTTCTCAAAACATTTTCTCTCCACTTAACCCCCCAACATTAGGTCCTCATTTTCCCCCTCCCTCCCCGCTCCCCCTCCCTCATGAGCACTTGATAGTTTATAAATGGGTATTTTGTCATATCTTGCCCTGTCCGACGTCTCCCTTCACCTACTTTTTGGTTGTCTGTCCCCCAGGGAGGAGGTGACACACAGTTCCATGTAATCGGTTCCCTCTTTCCTACCCATTCTCCCTTTACCCTCCCTGTTTTGCCACTCACACCACTGGTCCTGTAGGGCTCATCTGCCCTGGATTCCCTGTATTTTCAGTTCCTATCTGTACCAGTGTACCTCCTCTGGTCTAGCCAGACTTGCAAGATAGAATTCGAGTCATGGTAGTGGGAGCTGGGAGGAAACATTTAGGAACTAGAGGAAAGTTGTATTTCTCATCATTGTTACATCGCACCCTGACTGGCTCATCTCCTCCCCAGACCCCTCTGCAAGGGGATCTCCAGTCTGCCGCCTGGAATTTTATGATCACACACTGTATCCCAGCCCCGGTCCGACCACTCTTAAATGCACACATTTCGGCAAGAAAGCATGTGTCATAGACCTGGCTTAGTTGATAACCACGGCTTGCGTCGGTTATATTGTTTTGACAGTAAACATGTATGAAGATGGTTTTCGATTGTCTTTAAATGATGTAAGAGTTCGTTCCCTCGTCTGGGCAGTACAAATAGATCCATCATCGAAAGCCCAAGCTAGACCGCAACTTTTTTCTGTTTTGGAGCACTTGACAACTAGGAACTAGGTGGGGCTAGTCGATGGCACCCTTTAAATGAAGTTTTGCCCAACAGACTTGGAAGGGAATAAGCTCGGAGGAAAGCAAGCCTACCACAATGGGTCCCCCATGTCATGGCCCAACTGACATCCGGTGCGGAAGAAGTTTGTTGACATGCTGGGTCCGCCCGGGCTGCTCTACATAACCGTGGCCCAGGGGGCTGGTTCTGGTTCTGGAAAGTGCGCAGCAAGCAGTTCCCTCGGTTGAAAAGGAGGCTAGAAAGTGGAGTGGAGAAGACAAGGCGCCTTCCGTCTTCTCTCTCTTTTAGAATCTCTGAACGAGGCGTGAAAGTGCAGTGTCGGGAAGTGGACCTGGTTTCTAGCCCGGCTGGGGTGACCCCTGCTGGCGAGTTGGCGTCACCAGGCTAGTTTCTGAAGTTCCCTTGTTTGTTTTCGTCTCTAGCAGGTGCACAGCCTTACGGACGACTGGGCAAAACTGAACCACAGTCTAGACTGTGTCAAGTACGCCAAACCACACCTGCACTATAACAACAGCGTCATCAGGAGAGAGTGGAACAACCTGGTCTCGGAGGAGGTATGTGTGGGGTTAGAACAAAGCGAGCAGTAGGCACTTAGTGTACCGCTGGACCCAGGGGATGTCCTTCGACCAACAACACTCTTCCGCAGCCAGGCCTGGTGACAGTCTTAATGCTGACCTCCACCGGTCTCTCTTCTCCCAAGGAGGAAACTGAGGCAGAAGGGCCACGGTCGTAGTAGGAGTAATTCCTAGGTCTCAGTGTGTTCTTTCGTTACTTGGATCATTAAAACTTGATTTTAACAAACTCTAGGTTCTCACTAGTTGGTGATTTCCAGGGGTCAGGGACAGCCCAGAAGTGATGGGGGTGGGTGGGCCTCTACAGGAGTAGCAGAGGGGGAGCTTTCTTTTTTTAAATTGCTTTATTGGGGGCTCATACAACTCTTATCACAATCCATACATACATCAATTGTGTAAAGCACATTTGTACATTCGTTGCCCCCATCATTCTCAAAACATTTGCTCTCCACTGAAGCCCCTGGTATCAGCTCATTTTTCTTCCCCCGCACTCCCTCATTAACCCTTGATAATTTATAAATTATTATTTTGTCATCTTTCCCTGTCTGATGTCTCCCATCCATCTCCTGTCTGTTGTCCATCCCCCAGGGAGGAGGTTATATGTAGATCCTTGTAATCGGTTCCCCCTTTCCACCCCACCCTCCCTCCACCCTCCTGGTATCGCCACTCTCACCACTGGTCCTGAAGGGATCATCCGCCTTGGATTCCCTGTGTTTCCAGTTCCTATCTGTACCAGTGTACATCCTCTGGTCTAGCCAGATTTGTAAGGTAGAATTGGGATCATGATAGTGGTGGGGAGGAAGCATTTAGGAACTAGAGGAAAGTTGTATGTTTCATCATTGCTACACTGCACCCTGACTGGCACGTCTGTTCCCTGCGACCCTTCCAGTTGCCTACAGATGGGCTTTGGGTCCCCACTCCGCACTCCCCCTCAACACAATGATATGATTTTTTGTTCTCTGATGCCTGATACCTGATCCCAGAAGGGAGGTCTTTGTGGTGATGGGGTAGTTCTTTGTCTCCGTTGTGGTGGTGCTTACAGGAACTCTGCGTGTCTAACAGCACAGTGATACCAAGCCAGTCATGCGCACTGTACCGATGCCGATTTCTTGAGTCTGGCAGCGCTTTAGAATCACATAAAACGTAGCCATCGAGGAAGACGGGTCGAAAGGGGCATGGGCTTTTTTTGAACTATTTTTGATACTTCCTATGAATCATTGCTTCAGAACTTAGAAAACCATTTTAGTTCTAGGTGCTCTGTTCTTCTGAGAAGTATATTTCTTCCATCAGAAGCTTTTAACTCTGTTGCGTTGCATCCTTGTGAAAAGTGCCCCCATGAAACTTTCCGCTGTCTCACGCGCACTTGCTCTCCCCCCAGAACAGGGGGAAAAGAAGGTCCGCCGCCTATGTGAGGAACATTCTCGACAACGCCAACAAGTAAGTATGGGAGAGGCCATGTCTCTCTTTCACGGTCACCTCAGGGCGCCTCTCCCTTTTTTGGGAGCAGCTCACTCTGGCTGTGGGTCCTCCCCAAAATGAGGCTGCCAGCTGAAAGAGGGCAGCCACCCTGGCCTTCAAAGAGGGGAATGAGGGAGGGACACCGTTGGTCGGGGAAGGAGGTTCCTGTGCTGACCCTGACAGACTCCATGCTGTACAAGGATGACTAACGGGCCGAGGAGAACGCTTAGGAACTGGGCACATGTGTGGAGGACTGGCGGAAGGAAAAGCCAGTTTTGAACAGTGGGCTTTGCTCCTGGGCTGGTGAGCTGGCTCTTACTTTGAAAGCCCGGTGTCTGGGGAGATGAGTCATCTCTCAGTGCTGCAAGTGTAGGCCCTGGTCCAACGGGCTCTATTTTCTGTTCCCATTCTTTGCATTAACTGAGGGCTGCAATTGTTGGGGATGATTGCCCTCGTTAGCGCTCAGGAGTTGGAAGACTGTGTAATTGTCGAGGGTAGCTCTTGCCAAGATGATTACAGTTTTGGAGGGTTTAAGGCCCCCACCCCCCACCCTGCTCCGCAGAGGGTATTTTTGTAAGGTGTTGTGAACCCAGTGTTTTTTAAAAGAAGGTTATTATACTTCTTGTGTGAATAACATGGACTAATTTCTTTGTAGGGTGATTTCTAACCTTGAAGCAAGACGTTTGGGTAAGCAAAGAGCTGCCATCCGGCTTCCAGATCTCAGCCGTGTTTTGCTTTGACAGCTGCTCATCCTCCGGCCTCTTGGGGTTGGGGTTGGGGAGGAGGCTCCCTGGCTACACCCTGTCTGTCCCAGGGGCCCACCCGCTCTCTCCAGGGCCGCCTCAGCACCGAGTCCTGCAGGGAGAGCACTCCCCGCATGGGCTGGAGGCATCCGAGTCTGCCTCCTTGTTGCCCTGATCTAATCAGCGTGCCTTCTGGCCAGACCCCCAGAACCTGCTGGGCACTGCGCTTGGCTGGGCCACTTTGGCTCCAGCTGTGGGAGCACACCACAGCTGTTTGTCTTCATTTCCCATCTTTCCTTTTGAGGAAAGCTTGGTCTGGCTTCAGGCTAGAGCCTAAGTACACAGGTGGGGAACTCCCTGGGTAGCAGGGTGGATACCGGGGAAGCACCCGGTGTGGGAGTCACAGCAGGTGCAAGCACCAGTGGGGGCCCTCCTGACCACCACTGGGCACTGGGCGCTTGTGGGCAGGCCATCAATCCATTTTGCATATCGTCCCTCTCGGGGCTGGAGTGGGGAGTTCAGGAGAGTCAAGAGGGTCATGGGTTCGCAGCCAAGAGCAGCCCCGCTTGGGTATGTGAGGCAGCCTGTGTGTGAGGAAGGTGCCACTTCTAACAAGTGACAGGCTACCAGGTTGAACTTCACCCGTGTCTAGGTGACCTTGCTTAGGGAATGCCCAGCTTTGGATTGTCCCCATAAGTGTCTAATTTCATAGGTGTGCCTGATTTCTTTCCAACCCCTTTGTTGTGGCCTTGCCAGCTAAGTTTTATTTAGCGTAGACATTCGGTGGAGACAACCCCCTCTAGGTTGGGTGACTGCAGCGATGGGGACACAAGGCTCTGAGGCTGACACAAGGGCAGGTTCTGTGTCCAGAGACATAGCTACAAAAAACACTGCCCATAGCAACTCATTTTGGCACTCCAGGATGCAGGAGGTGGGCATGCTTGGGCGGGGGGTGGGGGTGGGTGGGATGGGGTTGGAGGGGGGATGGGGGCCTTGGAAGAAAACCTTCCAGGTGGCTCCCATCTGAGGTGGGTCTTGGGACACCACAGGTGAGACTGGGGAGAGGAAATGCAGGCAGTATAGCCCTTCTGTCTTTGGAACTTAGTGTCTTTCACACCTCAGAAAGCTCAGCTTTTACGTCAAGAAAAAAAAAAGTGATTGTTTTTCTATCCCACTTCTGTTTTGTATGGAACCCTGCTGGCATAGGGGTTGAGTTGGGCTGCTAGCTGCAAGGTCAGTAGTTTGAACTGCACCGCCCCCTCCCGCCCCAACCTCTCACCGGAGAAAAAGGCGGCTTTCTGCTCCCTGAAAGAGTGCACATGGTCTTGGAGACCCACAGGGGAGTCCTGCCTGGTCCTGTAGGGATGCCAGGCTTGAGAACTGACTCGATGGTAGTGAGTATTGGGGTGTTTTTTCCCTGTCTTTTGTGGGCCCAATGTTTTAGGAGCATGAGCATCCATTGCTGCACATCCCCCCAGCGGAGCCCCCGAACCACGGGGGCGAGCTCACCTTTCTCCACTCGGGCCAAGGCTCACTGGACAGCCCTGGGGAATGAGGCTCTGCTCCCAAGCCCAGCCCCAGCCCTCGTCACCAGGCCGCCCCTGGAGCTGACGCTCTGCCCTCCAGACAGGCGTGTGAACGTATGACTCGGGGACACCCTGCATGTGTCCGTGGGGGTTTTGCCATGTGGGAAGGGTTGCAGGCTTGGTTGAGTTTTCATTGTGTCTATGCCTCCTGCTCTTACTCACAGCTGCCCCCCAGCCCTGTTGGTGCCCCAGCACAGGCCAGGCCCTCATAATGCACATTTGGAAGCTTTCTCCCTTCCCCTCACGTGCCTGTTTTCTATAAAGAGAGCTGATACTGCCTGAGATGGAACATTCTGGCTGAAATCCAGGGCTGCGGAGCTCAAGTTTTAAATGGTTTCATCTTAAGCTTCAGAGATGGGCGGGCTCCAGATGGGATCTATCCCAAGGGGTCCAAAGGCACCCGCGCCTGCCCAGAAGGAGTCATCAGAACACAGGCCAAGGTGGTCCTGCCTTCTTGACCAGCACTGTGCCCCGGGCATCTGGGAGAGGGAGATGAGGAATGAGTGTGAGGCCAGACCTTAGAGAGACCTGGGTTTACCTGCTCCTTCATCCTTGCTGAAAAAAAGTGAAAGGAACAGGCAAGAAAAAGCCCCAAACTAGTTGTCAGCAAGTTGCTACAGGTCACGCTGTTTCCGGGTGCTGTGGAGTCAGGTCTCAATCCACAGGTGGCTCTGTGCTCCAAGCAGAGAGACCGGAGGAAGGGGCCCGTCAGCTTCTAGGATGGGTGACAAACCCAAGCCCCAAACTCACTGCCACCGAGTCGCTACCAATTCCTGGTGACCCCACAGGGCACAGTAGAACTGCCCCTGGGAGCTGACTCCCAGACTGGAACTCGACAGGAGTGGAAAGCCCCTTCTTTCTCCCACAGAGCGGCTGGTGGGTTTGAACTGCTGGCCTTGTGGACTGCAGCCCAATTTGTAACCACTGCGCCACCAGGGTGACAGTTACCTAAAGGAAAAGTTTACCTTATCAGGGGCGTTTTAAAGCGTTCTCTGTGTTTTAGAGACAGGAAGCACAGACTAATTCCTTTTCCTTCCTGCCCATTTCCCAAGAATTGCCCTGCTAGCCGACTGCTCCATTTTATTTCAGAGCCGAGATTAGCACCCCTCTTCCAGGAGGAAGACCGTCATCAGAGGCTGCTGATGGGGTTGGTAAGTGGTCTGTATGTTCTGTGGATGCCGCCCAACTCTGCTTCCTATCTTTTTTTCCCCCCATTCTTTCAAAAACTATTATATTTTCTACCAGCTGTTAACTCTTATGTGGTAAAAGAACACTTAATGACACAAGAAAATGATTACATAAAAAAAACCCGGATGCAAAACATTAAAATGATGTACACCAAAGAAGAAAATAACCTCTCAAATGTTAATATAGGTTGATAGGCTTATGCATGAGTTTCACTTTCATTCTGACAGTTATTGCAGAAGAGCCGAAGAGCACAAAAAGTGGGCTCTTGTTAATTAAAGGGAAATCAAATCTTTTAAAAGCCTACTCACTTAGCACAGGCTAGAGGCTGAACTCCACGTTGGTCCTGAAGGTCGTGATTTATGTAGGCTTTACACAATGAATAACTTATTTGTGAACATGCTAACAGAAGATACACACGTGTGTGATGTTAGTGGTCCAGTTCTCATGGTCTGTTTATTGGGGTGAAGCTCTCTCAGCCAAGAGGGCCTCTGGATGACCAGAGGGAGGAGGAGAGGGGGAAGGAGGATGAAAGAGCCACTCGGTGTGGGAGGGACGAGAAGGTCAGCCACCGAGGAGGAGACCCTGAGATTAGCCCGAGAGAAAGGGGATCGGAACAGCAAGTCTCTTGGAGATCGCAGAATGAATGTTTGGTTCCATTTGCATGCCAGGGGGCTGCTTGTAGTGTCTAAACCCAGTGTCTTCAGTGTGAAGCGAGAAACTAGACACATTTCCTTTTCACTCCCACCTCTCCTCTGTGAGACCCTCTGTGTTTAGAGCTGGTCCTCTTCCCACCTCAGGGTCTAGTTCACCTGGAGGAGATTGCAACTTTTGGTAGCTCTCAAGTCTCAGCTGCTCCTTCCGGGCTAGTGCGACTTAGAAGTAGTTCCTTTTGAACGAAAACAAATATTGGGACCCCTTGATTTATTCCAGTCAGAGGAGTCTGGAGGGTTTTATGTGGAGGGCTGTGGGATTTTCCTACCAATGTTTTTATGCTGATGAGGACTTATCCATATAAATAGATCTAATTCAAGTCACTTGCAGGTGTGACTGGGTGGGTTTTGACTTCTCCAATCCACGTCCTGTTTTCAGATGGTGTCTGAGCTAAGAGACCACCTTTTGGGTCACCTACAGGGTGTGGACAAGAAGGAACTTGAGCAGATGGTCCTGGACTACATTTCCAAGCTGGTTGGTATTGCCTTTTGTCGTCCTCTCCCCACACCCCATTCTGCGGCTCCAGATCCTCGCTCCCAGTGGTGGTGGTGGTGGTGGTGGGGGGGGGGAGTGAAGCCACCCACATTTCTCAAATTAGGTTCTGAAGGCCTCTCATTCAGACCCACATGTGAGGGTGCATCAAAACATCGATGGGAAAATCCCGTGAACTTGTTTCCATTTTCCCACAATTCCAAGCCCTCTCACCTGTGGGGCTATGCATTGAGGAAGTGGAAGTAAACCAGGAGGCAAAGGGGATTTGGGTTTGAAAAGGTGTCTTTCACTCCTCACTTCAAACCCATGGAAGCGAATCCAGCATGGCCGCCAAACGCTCACGTCTCGCCCTGGCATCTTCCCGCTCGTTATTAAACACAGGCAGGGATTGCTGTACATGGAGGCTGCTGCAGGCATGCGCTAACTGGAACGTCAATTTTTAATTAGCTCCCACAGATCCAAAAGACCAGATGCCAAGCCGAATATATAAACATCGCCATCTGAGAGCGTGTTGGTGTGATTGGTAGCTCATTTGCTTTGTAGCTCCTTATTGAAATGGTGCGATCCAAATGGGTGACACCAGCCCCCGGGTCAGAAGTGATGTGGTGACACTGAGTTTTGAGGCTGTCCTGACTCTTTCCAAAAATATATGGCGTCGAGGCCCAACCCTGTTACAGATGATGAATTGAAAAGAAAATATTCAGATACACCAAAAGAGAAGCAACACTAGTATTTTCTTAAGTATGCAGAAGAGCCAGTATGTAAGCGTTTTTTTGTACTGAATCCTGAAAGATTTGTTAAATGTTAGAAATCGTCCAGACTTAATCTTCCAGTGTTTAATATGAATGTTTCATGCCCTTATTGCAACCATCAGTGCCCATTAGTAAATGAATATATCTTTGGATCTCTGTAAGGTACTTTGCTTTATGAAAAGCCTTCATTATTGAGGAGAGGTTGCTATTCTCTTATATTGATATTTATAACGAGGACATTGAATTTTTCTAAATAGTTTTTCTTCCCAGTAGCCTTGTGCACACTCACTGCCATCGGTCCGGTCGGGCAGGGAGACCTGCCCCTGTGGATTTCTGAGACATTCACTCTCTCGGGAATAAAACCTTATCATTCTCCCTCTGAGCGGTTTGTGGTTTCCAACTGCTGACCTTGCTGTTAACAGCCCCATACATACCCACTGTGCTGCCAGAGCTTGTAGGACTGTGGAGGAGCCCATTTTAGGAATGCATTATCGACCCTCCCTAATCTTGATATGAACTTGCTTTTTTAATCTTTTAACTAATAGCACACAGCTGTTGATTTTTGATCTCACTTTCCTAACTGTTCAGGGACTTCCGTTCAAGCATCATTCTTCCACATTACCAGCACCCAACCCCGTAGGCATGCTAAGTGACATGTACAACAACCCCATTAAGGATTTCCCCTTCATGTCACAGAGGAGGCCACCAAGACGGGGAGAGGCTAGGTGCCCGGTCTAGGTTTCTGTACCGTCAAATGTAGAACCTGACTTTCTCCACAGCCCTTGACCTCCATGCGCTTCTTCCTCTCCATTCTTCTAACTTGCTGTGTTTTCCTAGAGAAAACCAGGACTTCAAACTAGTTCATTTCCGTTTGACCCCTGTTGAGAATTTGTATCGCCACTCCAGATAATATTGCATCAGAATCTACATTTTAACAATATCCCCAGGTGACTCTTAAACCTACTGCAGCTCCCATTAAACTGTGGTTTCTGGGGAGGAAATGCAAATTCTCAGTAGGGAAGTCAAGCTGGAATGAACCAGTTGGGAGCCCTGGAGAAACCCCAGCAGCACTTGACCTTCACGGATGGATGGAGGACCAGCACCACCAGTTGGCCAGCTGGAGCACTCAGCCGAGGCACTCACTGACTCACTGTCCACACAGAGTGTGCTCTGTTAGACGCGGGCACACAGTCAGTTTTTCCATCTCGGACTCCAGGGCCTCAGAACTGACCCCAGGAAGGCTGGGGTGGGTCCTGGCTGCAGCCTCACTGCCCTCTGCCCTGAACGTGCCTATCAGAGCCACAAAGGGATCGCTGCAGGGCACAAGGGACCAGTGCCAGCCGAAATTAACAACTGTCCTTGTCTTGTAGCTGGACCTCATTTGCAGCATCCTCGAAGCCAGTTGGAGGAAACATGAGCTTCATTCCTGGACTCTCCACTTGTACGCGAGTGTTCCTCCCCCTCCCTCTCTCACGGGTTCAGAGGGCCAGCACAGCTCCGGTTCTTACCTCTGTTAGCAGAACCTTTTTCAGGCTTACAGTCCAAAACCGATCTTACCCGCTGCCCAAACCCTTGTATCCCAGTTATACACATAGCCTGTAATGCGGTGCCCAAGACATCCCTGGCATCTAGTTGATGGTGGGGGGAGCAAGCTGAGGTCAGGACTGCTAAGAAGAGGGAGTTGGCATCAACTCAACTCAATGGCAGTGAGTTTGGCTTTCTTTTTCCTTTTGGTTTAACTGACAATCTATGTGCCTACTCTCTGGGTAGACTGTGGGCCCTGGGCTGATGGTTATTGTCATCTTTATGGGGCTTTCTGCAGGGCACAGCATCTCACCGTCTGCACGAAGGCCCCATGCACAGTACAGAGCCACTGCTTAGGGCAGATGGGCGTTCAGCCATGAGCTCCTGGGCTCATCCACTTCTTTGTACCTTTCCCAGTGATAGGCGGGGCAGTGCTGCCGAGTTCGCCGTCTTTCACCTCATGGCCCGGATTTTGGAAGCAACTAACAGTTTATTTTTACCTCTGCCACCCGGTAAGCCTGATTTCTTTTATTCTTTGGAGTACTCTGTTTGCTTGTTTTTTGCTCCTCGTTCACACGTGATCCCTAAACTCCGGCACATCCTAAATGATGAGAGAGGGGCCAGGAGTTGGTCCCTGCTGACTGGATCCCCCCTTGATAAAGCCATTTAGCTATCAACGGACAAAAGCAGTATTTAAATCTAGGCAGTCTGACTCCAAAATATGTTTTTTTAACTTTTTTTCAGTGTTCCTTCTTGAATTTTATATTCTAGTTCACTTAGTTGATGTTGAAATATAGAAACATTTTTTTAAGAGGTTAAGAAAGATTTTATCGAGGCAGGGATAGAACTCTCAGAAGGGAAGGGAGAGCAGAGAAAGGGACGGGGCCCGAGCCCCCAGGCGGTTCCTAGACCCAACGTGTTAGGTCAGGGAACTGGCCGAAACATTTATTATTTATGGGCCCAGAGAATTGTCACAGTCCATCTGAGCTGCTTTATATTTGTTATGTGTTTAGTACAGGTTAGAATCCTTACTAATTCTTCCATCTGTACACCTTATTTTATATTGTCTGTTGGTAAAGTGGTGATGATGTGGGTTACCACAGGGTCAGAGGTTCAAACCCACTAGTCACTCTGAGGGAGAAAGATGAGACTTTCTGTTTCCATCACGATTCACAGCCTTGGGAATCCAAAGAGGCAGTCCTGCCCTACCCCATCGGGTCAATGGCCTTCTTGCCCTTGTGTATCAGTGCCCTTTTTCCTTAAAAGGGTGCCATTCCTTGGATTTGGGACCCACTCTAAATTCAGGGGGATTTTATCTTGAGATTCTTCATTAATTGGATTTGCAACAACCCTATTCCCCACATTCTAAGGTTTCTTGTAGATAAGAGTTTTGGGGTACATTATTCCATGGCCAAATCTGCTACAAAACATTTCTTAAAACACAAGGATTTCACTTTGATGACTAAAGTGTGCCTGACCCAAGCCAGGTGATTTTCAATCTCTGAATATATTGGACAATGAATAGGGCAGACTGAGAAATTGATGCCTTTGCATTTTGGTGTTGGCAAAGAATATTGACTATTCCATGAACCTTGAGAAGAATAAACTTCTGACTCAGAACAAGTACAGCCAGAATGCTCCTTAGAAGCGAGGATGCCAAGACTTTGTCTTCTATGCTTTGGGCACGTGATTGGGAATGACCAGTCCCTGGAGCAGGACGACGTGCTTGGTAAAGTAGAGGGCGGGGGAAAGAGGAAGGCTCTCAGTGAGGTGGATTGGCACAGCAACGGCCTTGATAGGCATAAACCTGCCAACGGTTGTGAAGATGGCAGCCGACCAGACAGTGCTTTGGTTCTGCCATGCGTCGGGCTGCTCTGATGCGCAGTGGGGCTCCATGACACCTGCCGACAGCATTAACCATTTCACCCTCCGCACCTCATGGGACATGGAAATCGCAGTGCTGAGGTGAGCAGCACTGGATGGTTTGTGTGGATGTATGTGTGCTGAAGTACAGGGTACTTATGCAAGGTGTGGATGTGCAAGGATACTTGTTTACCATGTGACTACTACTCAAACTATCGGTCTGTTTGGGTTCCAAGTGTCAAAATTTGTAACCAGTGTTGAGCTGGAGCTTGTGTTGTTTATAAGGAGACCAGGCATGCTGGAAGAGGAGCACTTTTCCTGTGGTTGCGTGGGAAAGCGTTCTCATTCAGCACCCATGCCCGTTTTTAGATAATTAGCTTTGGTGCTCAAAGTTGACATGCAGAAAGAGGCGAAGAAGGGGCTGCTGAATTTTGAACTGTGTCTTACTGGCTAGAGGACAGGGGTCCCCCTAGGACACAGACACGGAGCTAGAGAAGGAATTTCGAATCCAGAAACTCTCTGAAACCCATGTGGTGGAGTCAATTTGGACTCACAGTGAACATAAAGACCAGAGTGGAGCTGCCTTATGGTAGGTACATAATCTGTTGTCAATTTGAGACTTACGAGTGAAGGGATAGAGTTTAGCCTGTCAATCAGGTCAGAGCTTGATGACCTCATGTGGAGGTGCTAAGAAGATAAATCACTCATTGGAGGCGAGGCACAGACTCACTCCCTGGGAGACACTGCAGTTGACAAGACACATGGAGCTACGCTAGTGCCCTGACCTGGAGGAGCCATGTGGAGACCGCTGCCACCGCTGAGATGCTTACAACGCCACTGGATCCACAAGACTTCCCACCCACTGGCCTGTGATCTTCCTGCATTCGGCGTCACTGCATGTGTTTCGTGGGTCTGAAGAGGACTTTATAGATCAATCTCGGACAAATGGCTAATATTGGACTTATGGACTTGATCTGGACTGGGCTGGGATGTTTTCTTAATGTACAATTACTCTTTATATAAAGCTCTTTCTTATACACATACGAGTCTCCCTGGATTTGTTTCTCTAGTCTGCCTGGACTAACACATGCCCCATACGATTCCCAGACCGACCTTTCGGAAAGCAGTCTGCCACGTCTGTCTCTGGTGGCGTGGCTGGTTGGCTTGAACTTCTGACCTCTTTGTTAGCAGATAGGCACTTAAGCACTGTGCCACCAGGGCTCCTTAGAGAGTCTATATGATCAATAATAGAAACTTCAGAAACAATTTTATAACTTTCCTTAATCCTTTCTCTTTTGTGGGTTCAACCTGTTTATGGAATGACCTATGCCCTGGCATGGGAGTTGGCATAGAAGAGGGCATGGCCATGTCCCCAGCCAGTGAAACCTCCCCTCCTGCCCCACACAGTGACAGGAAAAGGCACGGTACACCCACACATGACACCAAGCTGGCCTGATGGGTGGGGGTTAGTAGGCAGGGCCCATAAATTATAATGAGTGGGGAGGGGCCATAAACCTCAGGGACCATCCTGGCTCTTTGGAGTCCTTTTGGCCCTACCCTTCCCCTGTCCCCCAACAGCTTACGTGGGTGAGCAGCCCAGAGAGGGTAGGCTGCCTCAGCCTCCCATCATGCCCCCTGGTCCCCAGGAGGCCCATTCCTGGGGAGGGCCTTGAGTTGGGGGATCCAGAAAGGTGTGTGGATTTTCCTCCTCCTAGGACCCCCCATCACAGCCTGGAACCCCTACTTAGCACCCACCATGTGTAACCCCTTGCCCACCCCAGAAAGAGGGGCTGGCAGTCTCTTGGAGGGCCTTGGGGCCAGTCCCTGCCACCTAGCTTGTTTTCAGACAAGAACTGGGGCTAAAAATAGACTTTAGAGGTAGGAGTTGGGCTGGTGTGGGGAAGGAGGGAGCAGAAGACCCTGGGGACAGATTCCTTAAGGCAAGTCTTAGACTGCTAGTTAGCTAATAACATCACTGGGCCTTGGACTTGGGGAAACTAGTAGACTCCTCTCATTGTCAGCCCATGAACAAGTGCTTGCAGGCAGAGCTTAAACTTTATTTGACCCTTGGTGTTGCCAGAGTTGAGGATTGTCCCACTGCTTATGATTCATCTGCTCAGAGAAAGAACTTCCCTAATTTTGCTGAATCCAGGCCCTCCTCCTCGGGCATCATTCCTCTGTCATGTAAACTCCTAGCCTGGTGCTGGTGATTTTTCGCTGTCACGCTCCATCCACAGCCAACAGCTGCCAAGGCGCGTGACTGTCTTCTCCGATCCTTCTTCCTTTCCCTTCCCTTCCCCTGCGATCCTTTCTTGGTCTGTTGCCATATTGATATTCCAAAAGCAAGGCTCAAATTGTTTCTCTGTGTTCCGCCCCAAACCCTTTAGTGCCTCCCCAAAGTCGTCTACATTAAATAGTAAATTCTTTGCTGTCATTCTATAATCTCTTAAACAAGACGATGACCTCAACCCATCACATGTTGTTACAATACCCCACACTTTCTTCCTGGAATTGACAACATGTTAGGAGTAAATATTTAGCCCGTCATTGTTGGATGGCCTGTCCCCCCGCAGGCTGTAAGGGACATGGCAGCAGTCGCTGCCTGGTTTGCTCAGTGTTCTCACACCTGGTCGGTGCCCAAGGAGTCAGTAGCCAAGTGGGTTACACATTGGGCTGCTAACCACAAGGTCAGCAGTTAGAATCCACCAGCTGCTCCTCGGGAGAAAGAGAGACTTTCTGCTCCTGTGAGCAGTGACGTTTGAGCAGCCCTGGGTCTGGATCTGGATCCAGAGAACTGGGTTGTTTTTATTTTTAATGTGTGCCATACCTTCTCACTATTGTGGACTCCACAACCGGTGGTGGAGGCAGGATTGTGTTATGGTGAAAAAGCCCAGGCAAAAGTCTGAGATCTTGAATTCAAATGACAACTCAGCTACAACTACTACTACTACTTACTAGTTACACAGCTTTGGACACGTTTATTAGCTTCTGTGTGTCTTGATTCCCCATCTACACGATGGGAAGTTATTTGTTCCCGCCTTATAATATAGTGCAAGATGGACTTTCAACTCTCTTAAAGAGTTACGATGGCAATGATCAATGTAGAACACCCCCTCCCCCACCCTGAGGGGGGACGAACAACAGAAATGTAGGTGAAGGGAGATAGTGGATGGTGTCAGATATGAAAATAACAATTATTTATAATTTATCAAGGGTGCGTGAGGGAGGGAGGGGAAAAAGAGGAGCTGATAGCAAGGGCTCAAGTAGAAAGAAAATGCTTTGCAAATGATAATGGCAACATGCGCAAATGTGCTTGATACAACTGATGTGTCGATTGTTTTTTTTTTGTGTGTGTGTGTGTGTGTGTAAAGCGCATTTGTACATTCATTGCCCTCATCATTCTCAAAATATTTTCTCTCCACTTAAACCCCCAGCATTAGGTCCTCATTTTTCCCCTCCC